ATTTCAAATTAAACTTCTTCCCCCAAACATGGTGTCCCTTGGAGATTTTCATTTCTCTTTCTCTATGCCTTTCTTACATGCAATATTGTTTGTGGCTGTGATGGATCATTATGTGATGACCTCCAATGACTCACACCTGCATGCATCCATGCCCCTCTGTATGTGACACTGTCACATCCTCCATCAAGAGACTGAATTTATCCCTCTGCCTGCTTGAATGTGGGCTGGTGTTGTGACTTGGTCTGACCAATAAAAATGGTAGAAGAACCTTGTACATGTACTAAAACCTCAGACTTATGAGGCCTTGGCAGCATCTGCCTCTGCCCTCTTGGAGAACGCTTCTGAGACTGCCATGCAATGAAAAAGCCCAGGTTGAAACTACATTTGGAGGGAATGGTTCAGCCAAACCTGCTTTCTCAGCTGAGCTCAGTCTGCAGCTGATTTACCAGCCGAATGCCTTTCGAAAAATAATACATCATTATTTTAATACTCTAAGTTTTATGGTAGATCTTACAAAGCTATAGATTAATGCAACAAAGTGGTACTGGAAGTACAAAGTAATAGATAGATCCAACAGAAATTGGCAGTGAAAGGACAAGGCAGTAGATAAATGTAACAGAAATTAGTGAGAGCACTGGTAGAGGAAGCTAGAAAAGCAGGGAAGAAATTGCTACTGGAGACCAGAGAACAGAGGTGGATCAATGAACTGTTGTCTGGCGTAACTTGAAAGGTAGAAAATGTACCTAATGAACATGTTGATCTCACTAAAGTAATTTCCATGTAGAATACAGAAAGTAACAATTAGCTTCTTTAAACTGTGTTTAATGGGAGGTGGCATTTTCTACTACTGCCATAAAAAATTACCAAGAACAACATAAATTTATTATTTTATAGTTCTGTCAAAAATCCAGAAAGAGTAGAAATTAAAAGCAGATCAGTGAAATAGTATTTAGTAAGAGTTTATTGTGCACAAAAGAACAGCTTGCAAACTGGGAGTCTTAAATCCAACATTGAGATGAAGCTCAGAGGGATGGTGCCACAGGATGACTTATAAAGTGAAAATGAGGAAGTTGTTTAATCTTCAAAATGATTGGTTATTACCATGGGGGTTTCTAGATGGCAGGGGATTGGTTTAAAATGATTACCATATACCATTTTAAGAACATAACAAGTGTCTTTTATGATTATCAGAGGCATTGACAAGAAAAACCCTAAGATAAATTTTGCTTGTGTTCATGAAATAAGCTAGATTTATTTTGCTTAAATTATTTTGTCTTATCGTGGGATTTTCAAGCCTGGTCTCCATTTATTTTAACACTTCTGTAGGTCAGAGGTCCAAAACAGCGCTCACAGGGCCAGAACCAAGGTGTCAGCTGGGCTGTGTTCCTGCCTACAGGCTCTAGAGGAAGATCTATTTCCTTGCTTACTGTCGTTCATAGAATCCAGTTCTTTGTGGTCATATGGCTGAAATCCCCACTGCCTGGCTGCTGTCACCTGAGCATCATCTTTAGCTCATACTCTTTGGTCCCCTTCCTCCATCTTCAAAGCTAGCAATGGTAGGTTGAGTCCATCTCACACTTTGAATTTCTCCTCCTTCTTCTGTGGCTATTGCTAGCTATAGCCAGGAAGGTTCTCACCTTTTAAAGGAGATAACCTCCCCATGCACTCTTTAATCACATCTCCTAAATCCCTTTTCCTATAAGGTAAAATATTCACAGGTTTCAGGGATTAGAGTTTGGACATGTTTTGGGGGACATTATTTTGCCTACCTCGGAGATGAACTAAAGAAGGAACTGTCCATTTACAACAGAATTTAGAGGACATACAGAAGACTGAGGACAATCTTTCAGCCAGTAAAAGATTTTCAATGTAGGAAGTAGTCTTAGGATGAAATTCAAATCAAGGGTATGGCTGTAAAACCCTTTGTTAAGACCTATGAAAGATTTAAGGCAGTGACTTGCAGACTTCCATGGATAAACAAAGGTGCTTCTAAGAATATGAAGGGCCTGAAATGTGGCCCAACATAGATAACTATCTCAAAATGAATTATGTCTATGGTTTTTGGAGACAGAGATAAGCCCCAATCAGATTTACAAAAAGGCCATGAAGTCTTTAAGGGAGTTGTATCAACTTTGATTAAAAGGAAACAGAGACAGTTCAAACATAAAAAAGGCCTCTGGGCCACCAGCTGTCTTTGGGCAGGAGGCAGACTGAGAAAGCTACTTAGCTGCAGACAGGAGCCATATCTTGTGGAAAAGAAAGGACTCAGTGGCAGGGCAAAGAGCTAAGGAGAGCAATAGAGGAGGAAACCCAGTAACACCAGGAGCAGAACTATGGATGGATAATAAAAATGTATACATTGTTTGAATAGAGTGCAATAGGTAATGGGATAGGACATTATGATGATAGGATTTTGTTGATTCTTCTTAACAGTTTAACTCAGAAGCATTCAGGATGCATTTGTAAAAACACCACTGTTCATTTTGTAAACTGTTTACTTTTGCAGGGAGTGCTACACCTTGACCTCTCCCTTTCCAGGTTCCTGGAGACATATAAATACGCTTGGATTACATCATATGGGAATCCTTATATTGTATTGTATCTTGATATTACTGGCCCAAAAAAGATGCTGTATAATAGAAAACATTATTCTTTGATTTTTCCCTTAGGATTCCCAGCTGTTGCCTAAATGGATTTTTTGGAAGAAAGAGTATCTTCAGAGAGCAAAATGAAGACCCTTCTTAATGTAATATGAGAGGTAGTTTCAAATGTCTTAAGTCTGTTTTCCTCATGCCCCTTTAAATCTCAGCTGGGACTACCAGCCTCGTTTTTGTTTGTTTTTAACTATGCCATCTCACGCAATTTTGAGGACCAAGCCCATGCTCTATTCTCTTTTTGGACCCAGTAAGCATGCAAAAAACGTTTGTGAGATGAGTCAAAGAACTATTGCAGAAAAATTATAGTTTGAGACCATGACTATTTTCCCATTGCCTTTTTATATGGGCATGTCCAAAACTTTGAGTTTTAGCCACTTTAGCAAACCACCACCAAAAAATAAAATAAACACAGAAAGCAAGATGAGAACTATGCCTAGATATTTTCTTAACTCCCTTTTACATTTCAAAGATTACTTTAAAACATTAGCTCAAGAAAATAGCTTTATAATTGTCTTATATTATTAATACATTACTTGTATGTGTCAGGGACAATATAGTATAAAAACAAAACTAAAATGGCAACGTATTTTGTAAAATGAAACTTGCAAAAGTCAACACACTATGCATCATTTCAATAAGGAACTGTTACTAGAGTGCCAAACAGGTATTAAAAAATCAGCAAAGGAAAGCAGGGAATAGCACCACTCGTGCAAAAATCTACTTCCTCTTAAACAACAGAAGTTGAAAAGTGATTTCCTAACAAAAGAAGCAGCCCTTAAGAAGGAATTGATCTAGTAATAAGCTTTCTTCATGCAATTGCTGCAAAGTTTGATAACAAAGAATCCCTCCTCCTCCCTCCAGGATCTACTAAACTTGAGTTCTGTGTTTGCTGGAGTTTTCCTTAATCAAGTCACAGGCTTTTTCTCTAACCCCCTGCTCTTTATCCTTCTCCTTTGCTAAGGAAATGTAAAGTACAAAGAGAAAATGAGTTGTAACCCCTTCCTCCGGCTCATCACCTCCCGCATCTTGGTCACTTTGCATATTCCCTTCCCTTCCCAGTCGTTCCCAGTCAGCCCTACTATGCTCCCGGACTCTGCCCAGGCCCCGCCTCCCCCTCTCCCGGGCCCTTTCTCTCCCCTCCGCTCTCCCAGACACGCTTCCCGACGCGCTTTCCTGCCCCCGCCTCTGGGTCCCGCACCTTCCCCTCCCCCCGCCTCCTGCCTTGTGACACAGCCCGGGTCCTCCCAGGCGGCAGCCGCGGCTTCAGCACTAGCCACCAGCTCCACGGAGCGCGGCCCGCGGCTCAGCCCTCGCCGGCCCCGCCGCTGCTGCAGTCATGGCTGCTGATGGGGTGGACGAACGCTCGCCTCTGCTGTCAGCATCCCCCTCGGGAAGCGTCACCCCCACGGCCCCACCGTACTTACAAGAAAGCAGCCCTAGAGGTAAGGCCAGCAGAGACCTTTCTACTTTGTAAGGAAAAGCCTAGAATGCTATAGACCAGGTAGCTCTAGCTCCTGGGCGGAGGCGAGCCTCTCTCCTGGGCAGCGAGAGGGATGCCTGCCGTGCCCTCCGTAGACGAGCTGGCCTGCGGGAGAGCTCGCCGCAGGGCTTCTGGTGGGTGGATTGGGTGGGGGTGTTTCACCCCTTCTGCCCACTGGTGTGAGGTGTGTGTGTGTGTGTGTGTGTGTGTGTACTTCATCCCCTCTTACCCAGGGGTGCAGGATGTGACCTGAATTTCCCTGACTGGGCTTTGCTGTTTTAGACCCCAAGTGCGGCTGTGAAGTGGTGCAAATCTTTCAGTCATTCACAAATTCTCTCTGGTTGCTGAGAAACCAGGAATACTGCTCACCTTGGCATCTGCCCTTGAAAGGGCTTAACATGAAAGACAGGCATCTCTTACCGTTCACCCAGCACTGTTCTGTTAAATCAGGAAATTGCCTTACCAAAAAGAATAGAGTTAATCAATATTCCTAATGTGTCTGAAATTCCTGCCCTTTCTTATTAATCCTACTTGTAAGGAGTATGTGTTAGCTTTAGTGGTGAATGAGAAGGAAAAGAAAGGAAGATGGAATATTTTTGATGCATATCTGGGTGAAATTGAAATTAACTTCTAAAAGTAACCCAAGTTAATAGTGCATGTGTTTCTATTTATTTCTCTTCTTGATATGGAATCAAAAAAGATTTTATGGCAATGGGGTCTGAAGAAAGAAGTGAGGGGATCTATTTACCAAACTCTTCAATTCGTTTCGTTCCCAGTCAGCCCTACTATGCTCCCGGACTCTGCCCAGGCCCCGCCTCCCCCTCTCCCGGGCCCTTTCTCTCCCCTCCGCTCTCCCAGACACGCTTCCCGACGCGCTTTCCTGCCCCCGCCTCTGGGTCCCGCACCTTCCCCTCCCCCCGCCTCCTGCCTTGTGACACAGCCCGGGCCCTCCCAGGCGGCAGCCGCGGCTTCAGCACTAGCCACCAGCTCCACGGAGCGCGGCCCGCGGCTCAGCCCTCGCCGGCCCCGCCGCTGCTGCAGTCATGGCTGCTGATGGGGTGGACGAACGCTCGCCTCTGCTGTCAGCATCCCCCTCGGGAAGCGTCACCCCCACGGCCCCACCGTACTTACAAGAAAGCAGCCCTAGAGGTAAGGCCAGCAGAGACCTTTCTACTTTGTAAGGAAAAGCCTAGAATGCTATAGACCAGGTAGCTCTAGCTCCTGGGCGGAGGCGAGCCTCTCTCCTGGGCAGCGAGAGGGATGCCTGCCGTGCCCTCCGTAGACGAGCTGGCCTGCGGGAGAGCTCGCCGCAGGGCTTCTGGTGGGTGGATTGGGTGGGGGTGTTTCACCCCTTCTGCCCACTGGTGTGAGGTGTGTGTGTGTGTGTGTGTGTGTGTGTACTTCATCCCCTCTTACCCAGGGGTGCAGGATGTGACCTGAATTTCCCTGACTGGGCTTTGCTGTTTTAGACCCCAAGTGCGGCTGTGAAGTGGTGCAAATCTTTCAGTCATTCACAAATTCTCTCTGGTTGCTGAGAAACCAGGAATACTGCTCACCTTGGCATCTGCCCTTGAAAGGGCTTAACATGAAAGACAGGCATCTCTTACCGTTCACCCAGCACTGTTCTGTTAAATCAGGAAATTGCCTTACCAAAAAGAATAGAGTTAATCAATATTCCTAATGTGTCTGAAATTCCTGCCCTTTCTTATTAATCCTACTTGTAAGGAGTATGTGTTAGCTTTAGTGGTGAATGAGAAGGAAAAGAAAGGAAGATGGAATATTTTTGATGCATATCTGGGTGAAATTGAAATTAACTTCTAAAAGTAACCCAAGTTAATAGTGCATGTGTTTCTATTTATTTCTCTTCTTGATATGGAATCAAAAAAGATTTTATGGCAATGGGGTCTGAAGAAAGAAGTGAGACCCCAACTCTTCAATTCGTTCAAAGCTCTATCTTTGTTCTAAGCCTTTTAGTTGATTCCATAACTGAGATAAAGTGGAGTCAGGAGTTATAGCAAATGGAAGGCACAACTTTAAAAACCACTTAGAATAATGAAACTATTGGTCAAATATGGCACTTGCAAATGTAGCTTAAGTGCATTTCTCTCTTTTTTTTTTTTGGCTGCGTGTGAAAAATGTTTAAAAACCCAACAAGGCAAACATTAACGTCTTTCAAAATATGGGTGGATCATGTTTCTTGTAACACAACTTCTTCTAAGTTCTGGAATTTAAGTGTGGAATTGGAGCAGCAGTAGAGCAGGTTAAACTTGTCTAGTATGTAAAATTTCCATTTAACACATTGTAACTTGAAAAGCAACAATCCAGATCTAAATGCACACTTAGAAGCAGGACAAAGAAAAAAAGACGTTTAGTTGTGAATAATTCAGTGTGATTGATGAATTGTTAAATAAGGTGCAAAATGGAACAGAGACTAAACCCCCAGAAAACCTGTAAGTCATGTTTATTGGTCAGCATTACACTTGTGTAAGAGGCTACCAGGAGGAGGTATTTCTCTTAATGGCAACGTGATACTAATATTTTACTGTTAACTAACTTGTACAATCTAGACTAGGTTAAAAACTTATTACTGAATATTTCAACTACATCAAGTCAACCTTTTAAGACAAACTATTTGATAATTTATTAAGATACTAAGTTTGGATTTAAGCAACTGTCCCCAACAGATTTTCATGCCCTCTATTTTCCATGTATATTTTCCTACTTTTAGTAAATAGTGGCTAATTATTCCACTGTGCACACTCATATTCAAAATAAGCATACTCATGGACCTGCTCATAGACTTCCTTGTCATTTGCTGTACATTTGTTTAGTCTGATAAGGCTCCTCAAACTATGCAACAAAGCACGCATTCCAGTTCAGCCACTGAGAAAATGAAATTTCATCCCAGAAAGCTTTTAATAACCAAAGAAATTCAAAGTGTTAAAAAAAAACAAAATTCAACTGAGTAAATTTTAAAGATCATATTGGCTTTATTCAACGATCCATGAACCTGGCAGCATCCTATCCAGCTGTTTACTAGAAAGGAGCTCCAAGGAGCTGTACAAAATGAAAGACTTTTCTAGGTAGAAGGGAGCAGGATGAAGAAGTTACACTAGCACAGTGTTGATTGGTGATGACAAGGTCACTTTACTTTAGGGGATAGCAGGGGCTTATCAGCATTACCTCACGAGTGCTGATCAGGTAGCTCCTGATGTACTGACTTAAGATTCCATTTCTGGGAGAGGCCCAAGTGAAATTAAGGTAAAGCTCCCTTTTGTGATGTGGGGCTTAGCATAAGTGACTCCATTTTGGGTCGATTGTCTTGTTTTTAACAATTGAGTTAGCAAAAAGCCCCTTCTGCTTTATGGTAGAATAATGTTTTTTTCTTAACTAGTAAATAAGACAGGTTAGGTAATTAGAAACACTGATTTCATATGGCATAATACCTAGGAAGCAAGAAGCATAAATCAGTAATAAAGGCATTTTAGAAGCATTTTTGACAGAATATCTTTTCTTAATAACATAACTATTTTTATGTAATTATATATTTGTCATTATATATCATATATAATTTCGTAATAAATAATAAATAAGCATTTTCACAAATATTTTGATTTGAGTAATGCACAAGATCTGATTCTAAAAGACCAGCACTGTTTTCTCATTTAGCAATGCACTGGGGGGGCACAATGTGCCAGAGACTGCTGTAGGTGAACCAGACTGACCAAACCCTTCCCTTCTGGGAGCAACACGTTGTAGTTGTAGGGAGAAACAATGAGTAAACACATGGCTGAATTCAGATTGTAAGAACATTGTCACTGTACCAGATGTTTTCAGTAGTTGGCAACAGTTAGAATTGAAACTTGGGATTTAGAGGACCAGAAATAGAAAGTACTTTTTGATAATGAACTTTGGTTATAATGTCATTTATAATGGCACAGACTTTTTTTTTTTAAAGAATAGTTAAGGGCCATAAAAGTAGTTAAGTAGCAAATATTCTCTCCATTCCAACCATGGGCTATTTGTGTTACCTTCTAAGAATAGGAATGTTAGTTCCCCACCAAGATGAAATATCCCTTTTCAAGTTGAAAGTTGTTGGAGTGTTTATTTATAGACAGATTATTGATAATGTACCTGGGAGCAGTTAGTATTGTGCATCTGGTTTTAGCACAATGAGAATCATGTGCAGTCTGTGTAACAATCCACCTGGGTTTCTAAGTTTCTTACTATCACTACCAGGTTCGTGCATAGAGTAGGAAATCATCTCTCCTGTGATTGCAGTGCCTTATTTGGCACACTTGTCCATTTTTGTTAAAGCAGAGAAATTAAAATCAGACAGTTTTAGGCTTATTTAAAAGGAGATTGGAAGAAATCTCATAAAACTTACACAATTTGGCTACATTTAATTGATTTCTTTATACATCTGCTAATTTTATAAGTAGGATATGGCAAAAGAATATGACCTTTAAATTTATGAGAACTTACTCTGTGAAGAATGATTTATATTTAGGGTTTTCTATTTAGTGAACATGAGACTACCTATTTCACTGTAATTCTAAGGGAAAAAAAGTACATTGTTAGTTTCATTTGCTTAGTTTATTTCTGTCATTCATTCAGCAAATAAATACTTGAGTACTAGTCAAGCTCTGTGGTAAGAGGGAAAAACCAGACATAGTTCCTCTTCCAGTCTAGTGGAATATTGAAACATAAATTGAATAATTACTCAAACAAGTGCAAAGTGCAGTGGGATGAAGACAATACTAGAAATGTATCTGATGCCATACAAGTATATAAAAAAAATTTAACTAGGTAGGGAAGTCAGAGAAGGCTTTCCTGAGACTTGATTAAGGTCTGAAAGTTGACCAGGAGTTAATTGGCAAAGGGGGATTGGAAGAACATTCTAGGCAAAGAAAACAGTGCAGAAGCCTTTAAGCAAGATAGAGTATGGCTAAGTACAAGAAACTGAAAGAAGGCCAACATGGCTAAAGTGGAAACAGTAATAGGGAATGTGCTACAAAGTGGGATTGGAGAGGTGGGTGTGGTTGATATTCCCCAAAGAGCCTCTTCCCCCTTCTAAGAACTATGCTTTTTGATACTCAGGTCCTTGGGTAGTTCCTATCCTTGAATCTGGGCTGACCCTGTGATTCAGTTTGGCCTATAGAATAAGCAAGAAAACTGACTGGCTGGATGACTTTGGGGACTAGGTCGCAGCTTTTGCCTTGGTCTCTATAGTGTGCTTTGAGGAAAGTAACTTGTCATACAAAAATTTGAAAACCCTGAACTTTGAGGAACTCCAAACTTGCCATGTGGAGAGGTTAAATGGAGAGAGGGATGTCTGACCAGCCCTGGGACATGTGAGTGAAGAAGGCATATTGGATGCACAGCTCAGTTGACTGGGCTTCAGATGACTCCACTCCATGCCAAATTCTCACTGCACCAGGGTAATAGATTCTAGGTGATGACCATCCAGCTGAGGCTAAACTACTCATAGAATCATGAAAGCTAATATTCAATCATTGTTTTAAGCTATTAAGTGTTTGGGTTATTTGTTCTGTAGCAACAGATGACCAGAACAGTAAGTATTAATCAGGCCATGCAGGGTACTGTGGGTCATGTTGAGGAATTTTGCCTTCAGCAAAGGGATGATCTGGTTAGATCTTTAGTATTGTTATAATGATTTAAATCACAATTTTAGGTTAGATACTAAATTAGACGGGGTTTAGAGTGGATGAGGATAGATGACTTGAGTGGTTACTGTAATGACTCAGGCAAATCTGATAAATTGATGATAGCTTGGGCTCTGGTGGTGGTAGAGGTGGAGAGATGAGATAATGTTAAGGAAGTAAATTGAAGAGGGTTTGATGATGAATTGGATGTGGGAGGACAAGAGAGGTGTGGCAAGGGTATCTCCTAGAATTTTGGCTTCCACAACTTCGTAGTGTGATTACCTTCCCTGAGACGGAGAACACTGGAAGAGGGCCAAGTTTTGGGAACACAGACCATGAACTTATTTGCATATTGGCGATGGCAGAATACATGGGTGCTGATTCAGAGCTTCCCAAGGCCCACCAGTGTACCATGGGATGTGCTAACATAGAGTACACATGTGTTAAGATACTATCCTCAGTCCTTGGAGCACCAGGTGCTGC